AACTTGAAGTTGTATGAACATCTACAAGGGTCTAAGCAGATTAATTCATAAAATAAGTACAGACTGCTCTAGTAGATTTGCTTCAATATTAACTAGCTTTACAATACTAGCAATATATCTAATATAATGTATTCTAAGAGGATCTAAGCTATTCTAGATAAATAAATTCATAATAAGCTAGTTAGCTTAAGTAGTTAGATATTGTAATAATATTAGATTAGACCTGTATAGATTAATAAACAGAGTGTTTAAATAGATAACTCATAGGCAGATTACAGGTATAGCAGTATAGTGTAGAACCAATTGAGTGATCTAATACCTATATAGTGAACTATTTAAAATAGATAATAACTAAAGTTATATATATGGCCTGTTGTATACTCTTTATATAATTACAAATAGTAAGGATTATTAATGTATAATTTTGTTTATAATATTAATAAAATTCCTTCAGCAATATAAGCTATCTTAACAATAAAAAAAAAAAATAGTAAAGTAAAGTAGAATATATTAGTAAACTAAAGAAGTAATACAAATAGTAATAGTATATAATAAAGCAAAGTAGTAGTATATAATATATTAAACAAATAAATATATTTATATAGTTAGTGATATTATAACTAAATATTAAAGAAACATATTAAGTATTGTATAATTATAAACTTTATACAAATACAAATATTGTTGTAATAAATAAATATTTGCTATAAATTTTAAATAAAAATGCTTATTCATTTTTTTTTTTTTTTTTTTTAAACTTAGGTGATCTTACTTTTCATTTTATTAGGCACATATCTTAAAGATATTAGACAAATATATAAATAAAAGAAAAAATTCTAATTTAAGTCATGTGTGCTTTGTTGCAATTCCGAATTCACTCAGCTGCTCAGATAGTGCTCAAGTGCAATCTGCTATAGCAGCATAATTTTTCTCCTAAAACTAGATGCATGACTAACATGCCTGCCTAGTCTCGATCAGCAGAAGGCTACTACTAGCCTATATTAAGACTACTTTAGCTAGACTACTCTAACTTTAATCTTAGATATTACCCTAAGAAAAAAATTAGAATATAATCTAATTAATACAAAGAAAAATAAAAAATTGTATAAAATCTGAGTGGTAATAATCAATACCAAATATCTAGACTATAAAAAAAAACCTGCTACAGGTTAAAACAAACAAGACTAGATTATAAATCAAAATAAAAAGAGAAGGAAAAAAAAAAAAAAAAAAAATGAGAAAAAGAGGTAGTATACTATACTGCTTCTAGCATAGCTCTAATAAAAATTGTATATAGCTACTCTCCTATGTTTTTCACTATAACTTGAAAAAATTTTAATCTGTGTCTAGAGGAGTTTACTTCAAAACTGAATTCAGGTAGCTTTCCACAGAGATTTCCTATAACATATACTTCAACTAATATGTATTTGTTTATATAAATCTGAATATAAATAGATAGTTCCTAATATAGTTTGTTGATCATAGATCTTTTGATGGAAGGTAGCTAATTTTCTCAGTTTGTCTCAAAAAACAACGAAGCCAATAAAAAAGAAAGTCTAAAAGATATATTCAGAAGAACCTTGCTTGTAGAATATATTATAATGACTATAAGACTATGTTATTTTGAAAGAACATAATAATAGCACAAGTATATATTTATTTTTTATAACCTAAACAAAATACTTGACAAAAGCTCCTGATGATGCTACTTCTATTCAAAAGTTTCTAGACATATAATATAGGTTGCAACCTTAAGACAGTATTTTTCAACTGCTATGAGCTGAATATTTTAATTTCTCTGTATTACTAGAAGGAGTTATGTATTTTTTTGTTATATTTTTCTTCTTTTTTCACAAGTCAGTATTGCTCTATATAGGTTCAAGTGATTGTTGGAAAGAGTAAGTTGGTATATTGAAAATACTTATTTATTACTCAAGATAGATTATACTATCAAATATAATATTTAAGAAAGTAATCATTATAAGTAACAAATAAGTATTTTATATAAAATTTATAGCAAATATTTATTTATTATAAAAATGATTTCTTATACTCTATATACTAAGTAGCCTAAAATTTTTTTTTGTTGTTAAAGGTAGCTTATATTGCTGAAAGAATTTTATTAGAGATTATATATTGATAATCCCTACTGTTTATAATTATATAAAAAGTATACAAATATACTACAAATAAGATCTAGTAATCTAGTATAGTAGTTAAGTTGTCAAACTACTATGTAATAAATCTGGAGTTCAAATCCTACTATCAACAAATTTGAATAATTTCTTAGAACTTATGATATTTTATAGTAAATCCTGTTCATTTCTAGAAGTGTACTCCTATAAATTAAGTTGCACCAAATTGATTAGAACTTGAAAGTGTAATATAATATTACATAAATAAATCTTAATAAAATATACGAGCAGGAGACTTGTATAGTAGAAATTCTAATTCAGTGAAGTAGTATAGCCTTATAATAGGACTATATTGGCTAAAGTCTGATTTAGAAAGAAAACTTAATCTAATAAAAGTAGAAGGTTTTGAGGTCTCTAAACAAAAGGTAACTGAGACTAGCTAGATACTGAAAAAAGACTAGATCAACTAACTAGTGGAGAACCATGGTAGAATCTAGGGTTGTATAAACATCTACAAGAGTTTATACTAGATAAATTTGTAAAATAGATATGGATTACTCTAGTAGGTTTGCTTCGAGATTAACTAGCTCTGCAAAACTAGCAATATATCTAGTATAATATATTCTAAGAGAATTTAAGCTATTTGGATAAATAGATCTGTAATGAGCTAGCTAGCTTAAGCAGTTAGGTATTGCAATGATATTAAGTTGAATTTGTATAAGTTAATAAATAGAGTATTTAAATAGATAATTCACAATGTTATAATAGTAAAATTTCATATTTTTTGCTAATAACTTTTGAACTACCACTTCAATCTTAATGAAACTTATACCATTGGAATCAGCATATCGAGATGATTCTAATGAATACAAGATCATATGATTTGGATTACAGGATCCCGAGATCATTAAAGATTTATAAATATTAATTCATATATAATATGTAACTTAATTCTGATTGGATAATCACAACTACGCCCAAAATCGATAATTTTTACTCCATCTACCATTTCTATACTTTCTACTATTTATACCAGATCTATCATATCTATCATATATCTCAGATATACCATATCTCATATTTATATCATATTTCTCATATATATTATTTATATCATATGTATTATTTTATTACTATTTATAGTTATTTTAGTTAGTTAACTTATCTTTATTGTAATTATTTATACATGTAAATTATCTATAAAAGCACTGCCTTTTTGCCCTTCGAGCAAAGCAGTCTTGTCTTCATACAATTCTCAATAAAGATATAATACTTAGTATCTTCATATACTATTTATTATTTGCCTCTTAGCCCTAACATAAATCACTACAAAAACCTCTTTGTTAAGTCTTAATTCTAGATACCATATAACAAGCTGTAAAGTTATAGTCTTCATACTATAATCAGTAGTCTCTGAGAACTCTAGAAGAGGTGAATTCCCCATTTGACAATTTGGTGGTGACTGTGAGATAAAGTTCTCCTTCACTGAAGAAAATTGAAGTTACTTGCTACTAAGAAAAGTCGATCAGTTTTGAACCAATCTATCTAAAATTTTTACTGTATATTCTTGAAATCCTACTGCATCTTTTGTACTAAGTATTATCTTAGTAGAAAATCTTTCTGAAACCCGCTATTCGCGTTTCAAAATAGTTTTAGTAATTTTGATCTGTAAAGAAAGTTAGAGAAAGCTTCTTCAAGAAACCTAATGATGTTGGTTACACAAACTTTGGACACTAATATCTCAGTGAATATCCAACCGAATTTAGATTTTTGACTACCATTAGGACTGCAAAGAACCAAAGAACAATTCTTTTCTAAGTGAGAACAAACAATAGCATAGTATCAAATACTCTAAAATGATACTTTTTCAAAAAAATTTGTATAGTTATTGAGAGTGATATCTATGACTAGATGAGGAATTGCAACTTCACAAACGCCACAACATATTGAGAACACTCAAGTATTGAAGGCACCTTCTTACAAAGACTACCTTGAAAAAGAAATTGATAAATTAATTGATTCAACTGAACAAACAGACGGTTCTTTCATCTTTACTATAAAAGATTTAAAGCTTGTTGACCTTTATTTTGCTCAACTCAAACAAGTTGAAGCTACTATTGACTTGTAAAAATCTTTCTCTCTTATTCTTTTGATTGTTCTCCATGAGCCAAAGTGTAGGCGTAAAGAACCTCTCTTTATAATTTATTTCTCTGATTTAATATATTTAAGTTTTAATTTTGAATAATTTTTGATTTTACAAAGCATTTAACAAACATAATTAGACATCAAAAACAATATACCTTGAATTTACTTATTGAATCAGACGATTCTTGTGATATCTGTTACCCTATTTTAACTCCTATATTATTTACTCCTTTTCATAATTTTATTACTTGGTATAGTAAACAATACCTTGCAGTAAACTTTACTGGCAAAACATTAGAATACTTTAATAATTTTAGAAATATTTATTTACAATTTGAATTACCTCAACACAAAAATCTTATTTTCAAGATAATATATAGTATTAGATACAACAACTTATCTGGTAATATTCGTGAAATAATTGGAGGAATTGCAGTATTATCATTATATACTGATTGTTTTGAGAAAAACCCACTTCATTTATCTAAAGAAGAACTAGATAACACTGAACCTCTTGATCAACTCATAGAAAGAATATAACAAATCTCAAACGCTTATACCTAATTAAACCCTCTAGTAGAATTACTATTTTATAATAATCAGATAGCTACTCCTGATTTATTATTCAATACTTCCTTATCGACAACTCTATACCTACTACCTTTAAATAATCCCCTTTTATTTATAAACCTAACAATAGCTGCAACAACTGATGATATCATGAACTACCTTAAGGCAAATACTAGTAGATCCCTTCTACTTAAAGTAGAGCCATTTACTGGTGATGGTACTCAGGACCCATATACTTGAATGGAATACTTTGAAAAAGCTGCTGCTGCTAATAGATAGGATAGTAAAAGAAAAAGAGATATTCTTACTAGTTTCTTACATGGAGTTGCTGATGAGTGGCAAACAACTTTCTATGTGACTCAAAATACAGCAGGAACATCAAATTGGGGTGATCTCTGGACTGCTATCACAGATAACTTTAAACTTAACTTCTATACTCAATGATAGAAAAATAAATGGTTATGTGAATTAGAAGCTATTAAACAAGAAACAGATGAAACAATAGAATCATATTATAGTAGATTCAATAAATTAATCAAAAAATATAATATCACTGATGCTGCTCAACAGTTAGATTACTTTAAAAAAGGTGTAAAACCTGAACTATTACTCATAATCATATTGCATAATCCTGGAAATCTAAATGATACTTGACAATTAGTTCAACGATATGAACAAGAAAAAGACTTTGCTCAACAGATAGAACCAATCTCATCTTCAAGCAATAATACTCACAAATTAGAAAAGGATATTGAAGTATTGACTCAGCAAATAAAACAAATGAGCTTAAACTATGCAACTATTGCATCTGCTCTTACTGAAACTCATGAAAAACCCAAATCAAGACCAATTAATTATCAACAAAACCAACCAAATAGGATTCAATCTTGACCAAAAATCATTTGTTATAATTGTAGTGAAGCAGGCCATATAGCTAGAAATTGTATGGCTGAACATCAAACTACTACTGAACAATACAAACAATTAAAGAAAGATGTAATCAGAAATAGAAATATAAACTTCTTAGAAGCAGAAGATGATAGTGAAGATTATAAGGAAGAAATTTACATTGTCAAAAATCAAAGATCTACTTCATATACCACTGATAGAAAGAAAGCTAAACACGTTACAAAAAATTCTGAATATCAGAAAGAATTTAATCTATATAACAGAAAGATAACTTCTATTCAAATAGAAGAAGATACTATTATGGAAGATGTACCTTATGAAATACCTGAAGAAATACTAACTACAAAAGTAAATTGACTAAGAACTAAATATAAAACTCAACCTTCTGTAATTGATAAAATTGAACCCTATGATATTTCTGTTGATATTTTAAATATGAAATCTTCAGCTACTCTAGTACAACTATTACAATACCCTAATCAATGAAGAAACCTTGCTAAAATTATTCAAAAAAAGAAGAAACCTTTAACAGAAGCAAACCTTATTGAATCAGCAAAATTCAAGAAAACTACAGCAATAAGATGTCATATTAGAATTAAAGAAAATCCTGTTCAAGCTATTCTTGACTCTGAAGCTGCTATTAGTATTATTACAGCAAGGCTAATGAAGAAACTAGGACTCAATATCCAAGGACCTTCAAGAACTATAGTTGTAACTGCTAATAGTGAACGTACTAAAGTATTAAGAGTAATTTCTAATATAAAAGTTACTATTCAAGATATTATAATCTCTGTTGACTTACAAGTTATTGAGTTAATGGACGAAACTCTTCTTCTAGGAACAAACTGGTTTAATAAATCTAGAGCTAAATTAGATTTTAAAAATAATACCTTAACTGTACGATATTAGAGATTGGATCCAAGTGGGTACAACTCGGGTCACCCACAGATAGGTAGATAACCTGGGTTAGAGTTGTAGTAACCCGAGTAAAAACAGGTAGGTAACCTATGAGTTGACCCACAGGTTGACCCATAGATGGTCAACCCACAGTTGACCCACAGGTGGTCATCCGATTAGTGTTTGAATAAAAATTTTGAATTCAAACAAGATTTGAATGAAATCCAAAAAATAAGCAAAGTACTTTATAATTTTTATTAAATTAAATGATTTTATTATAAGCATTGAAATCTAGTAATGAATTCAAAGTTTCATTATTTTAACTAATTGCACTAAAATAAATAATTAATCATCATCGAGGATCTCAACTGAGTTAAGAGGTTTACTAACTAAAAATAATTCAAAATTTTAATTTAGCTGACTAGACTTTTTATAATTTACAAAATATGTTGTAGCACTTGATACTCAATTTAAAATTTGATAAAATAAAAAGATTATTTAATGAATTGCTAAATTTTAAGTAACTTGATAATTAAT